AATTGCGTTATTTTTGTGTTGTTGTTAATGAAATGAGTATTTTTTGTTGCGAGTTAGTCTCTCTAGATTGGCAAACAAATCTACATTCTGCTGTTTCAAATGTAAACAAATCTGCCCTGATTTAAACTTATCAACTTAAAAGCTTTTAAAGTGTATAATGTACAACTATGCTCCAGAATCGAAGGATAAAAAACTTTAACCGGAAGATAAAAATAACAGAATCAATCAGTTTTAAAGCAAAAATGTAAATTCCAAACTGTAAGGTAAAAAATGAATCCTGAGCCGGTAACAGAGTGGATATATATATATATTTATATAAGTTGATGCGGCGATGCAACCAAAATAATAAGTGCACATCTACAGTTTAGCAGTCCTATATACAAATTCAACGTTCGAGGCTACGCGTTTTTGAGTACGCAAATACGACGTACGTACATACGTTGGTACAGACGCCACGAAAAATTCTGGTGCTACTTTGGTAGACGGTTGCACGGATTTTGGCGATTTAACATTGGCGCAATGTTGGCGCGGTTTTACAGCGTCAGCCATCTTGAAAAAATGCTGTTTTACGTATTTCATGCATAGTAAAGTATTCGAAACTTTAAAAAAATAAAATCGTTAAAAAATAATGGATATTTTTTTTGAAAAACGTTGTTTTTATAAGATGGCTGGCAAATGAGATAAATACATTACTAAGAGTTAAAATGAAAGTAAGGTAAATTATTACTTCATATAATAGAATAAAAAATTGCGCAAACATTTAATTGGAATAAATATTACTTAAATTAATATTGAATTAAAAAATCATACCCCTTTAAAAGAATTAAAATTTTTCAATTACTTAAATTCAAATCTTTAAAATAAGTTTTAGGTATAATTATTTAACATTAAAACATGTGGGATATGGAATAAATATCTCAATTTTTTAAAAAAGTGTATTAAATTTTAAAAAATTGAATTATACAATAATAAAGTTAAGAAAAATATTACTTACATTTTTTTTACATTTTACTATACGCCATTGCTAAGTACCAGAAAAAAAAAAAAATCTTCATCTGTAGCACATTTTCGCACTTCATTGAAGAAGCAATTAGCGAGGTTTCATTAAATTTTAAATATTCCTCTGACCCGTAACAATAAATATCTTTGAGGAAATCCAGTGTGGCCAAAATAAGTCTCAAACGGCAATTTTTTATCCGATACCAAATTCTTGGTAAGGCAATAACAACATTCATCTTCGAAACGGGACATCCATCGCTTTGAAATCTGAGGAATCGAAGAGAGATGAATAAAAATTTTAAATGGCGCAGTAATGCACAAATATTCAGTAACCAATCAAGAGCTGATAATCACGGCTAAATTAAAATTATTTAAATAATCATTCATAATAAAATATATTAAAAAATGCAAAATTAATTGGTTTTAATAATTAAAGCCATCATAATGTTAAAAAATTAGATTAAATTTATAGATATAAAAACCAATTACTTTTAAAATAATGTGACGTCAGTCATTAATCATTCACAACATAAAATTCCATAAAAATCATAAACAATAAAATTTTTATTTCAAAAAAATGCAAAAAAATTAATTTTTATTATTTAGAAGTCATAAATAATTAAAACACGGAATTTACATAATAAAACGATTATTTTTTAAAATAAAATGACAACAAAGTTCGGTTACCATAAATAACGTCTAGCAATGGGTTCCATAAGTCGCATTGTCGCCAAAAGAAAAATCGCCAAAAAATCGCCAAAATCCGTGCAACCGTCTACCAAAGTAGTACCATTCTCTTCAGAATTAATTTAAAGCAGTTTTATAATTTTTTTGGGGGGGAAGAAAGAGTGTTTTATTTGTCCTTACATACAGATATCACGCAAAAACACGTTAAATTGCATTTGAAGAGGTCAAATGGATATTTTCGTTGAAATATGCTGCCTGAAACTTTTCGCGATTACAATACTTCCTTTTTACTTCGTACAAGGAAGTAAAAAGCGGTAAATGGTAGATTATCCCAATCCGAATTTCATTAAAGAGTCTTGAGGGGAAATTTTTATAATGATTTTCGAATCCAGCTAATTCCATATCGCGTTTCGTCGAAACAGTTGAAACAGACAATTGAAACTGTATAGGAAACTCTTTTTGAATATTAATTGAAAAAAAACTTAGTCATAAACTTTAGTCTCAATTCTCTGTTCCATTTCCCTACGCGTCCGCTTGGAAAAAAAACACATTAAGGTGTAAGAAAAAACTATACATAATGGCTTGGTTATGCCAATGTAGAAAATAAAATAAATAGCGATTTGCTATTAGTCAAAATTACAAGATTTTAAGGGAGGATCTACTAGCTTATAGAGTTAAAACTTTGTGAACGTAGCTAAATAAATTAAATTAAAAAAATTAAATAAAAAAAAGCGAAAAAGACTAAAAAAATATATTGAAAGGGTCTTGCTATGACCAAAAATCAATAGAAGGAAGAAAAAAAAAAATTTTTAAATAGACCTGGAAATCAATTTGACAAATTATTAAAACTAAAAAATGTAAATTAAAAGATTATCTACTGAGGTTTGTAATGTGCAGTGTTAAAGCCATATTTTATTAATTACATTAATAGTGAATCCGTTGGCAGTCATTTTATATATTATATATTAAATGTCTTTTACATTTAAACTATATCATTTAGACATGTCATTAAAAAGCAAAGTAAATATTTAAATTATTGAGAAATTCACAAAAGTTTAAAATAATTTTAAAAACTAAATTTAGAAAATCTTCTGGGTAATATTTACTTTGATACATATATTTCAGCAACTGGAAGATTAAGATGTGTTCTAGATGTTCAAAGTACAAAATGCTATGAACTTCTACAACCTTGATTTGAGTTAAAGAGAATCTTTGCTTGAGTTTAAATTGTAGCACCTCTAACGAAAATAAGTACTCACCAGTTTCACTAGAACAGAAATAACTGGGATTTCTGTAAAGCTTGTCATTTCTGTAAAGTCTTAGCCAACTCAGTTTTTGAAATTCTCTAGAGTCGATTCAGCTCTAATTCACTACACAAGGAAAGAATTCATTCTATTCAGCTTTAGGGCAGTATCGCCAGTGCTTTTTAAAGCCTGTTCTTAGACTTCGTATTCGCTGAACAAAAAATTTTGATCATACTGAAAAAGTCTTCTCTCATTCGGCACTTTAATAACTGCAAAACGAATTTATTGATCATAACATACTGACTCTGCATAAGCTTATATGGCATAAATCAAATTTAAAATATTTGATTCTTGTTTAGTTGTTGCCAGGAATGGAGATAAAAATTATAAAGAAATGATTGCTTAATAATAGCAAACGATCGTATGTTTATTCTGGAAGTTACTTAAGTTTTAGCCTATGTTGCATTTCTGTTAATGAGCTCTAATTAATTTGCTTTTATCAGCACTAAACATATTCTATGGAATGAGATAAGTTTTTCCAAAAAAGATTTCTAGTAAATTTGATGCAGTTAAATTTTTTTAGTATTTTCAGCTTGCATTTATTTTCAACAGTATACCATTACATTGCTTTAGTGAGCTCCATAAGCGTTTTCAATTTTATCAAAATTTTAATAAGTAATTAACGATTTTCTTACATTCAAAGTTTTATGTCTTAATGTTCAGTTTACTTATTTATGAATTATATAACATATTTTAACTGATTTAACTTCGCATTTAATATTTTTGAGAGACTATATTATTTCATTATTAAGACGATTTAAATTTGATGCTATGACGAAGATGACATTTTCAAAATAATAAAAGCTATTTTTGCAAACGTATAAAATAAACTAACTTACAATATACATTTAAATTTCATTTGCTTATAAATATACATTAAACTTTTACAGTTATGATTTTGAACACATAATACTCTTCAGTGTAGTAATTGCCTTATTTTAATTTATTCTAGAGGCAATTTACTTACGAAAGTCATATTACATTAAATTAAAACTTATAAACAGCAATACTTTCAAGTCATTCGTATTATTTTTCTCTTGATTGTTTATTATCTGACTATAAACCATAATAATGAATATATAAATTTACCAAATTATATGTATATATTTGCTTAAAGCATTCTTTATTTTTGATAATCGTTCGTTCGCTTTTTAAATTCCGAAATCTTTGTCACCATGAATGGTGCAAATATTTGTGGAGACAAACTTTTTTTTAGTCCAAAGGGGGCAATTTACCCAAAAGGACTATTAATTTCGTTTTGGCATTTTGCGTTGGTTCACTATAAATGTGGGCTCACTTTTCAAATTGTTGCCATCAAATATTATCGCCCTGTGTTATATTTAAAGAAATTAAATAGTGAAGAATCTTCATAAATCTATGGATGTTTCTCACATTGGGATAAAACAATGGTACTTAGAGCCATCCAGTTTTGAATAACGCAATCTTCTACCGAATATGGTCATCTGGAAGCCCAAAACTTGAATTTTAAATTTGTTTTATTATCGATTTCATATTTTGTAACACTTTAACGAATTTTTGGTTAACAAACTTAACGATTCAAAAGCGAGCAATAGCAACACTGTATGGGGGGGGGGATTATCTCCAGTGCACGAAATTGTGTATCGGAAATTCTGAAGTTTTGCTCATTTTTAAAATTATTTTGCAATATTGCTGGTGAATTTAATTTTATGGTTTAAGTGCAAAGAACATGCTATTTAATAAATAAATGTAACACACGAAACGTCCCTTTGGGGGTAATGAAATATCCGAAAACTTTCAGATTTTTTATTTTTATTTGTATTTTTTTAATTTTTATTTATTTATTTTTGAATCGGGAGCAGTCTTACTTGAACTTATGTTAGAATTATCTAAAGCCTAGTATTTCCGTTTTCTATTTACGTGTTTCGTTACGTTGCTAAGTCAATTAACATTTGCCTTAATAATATTTCCTCTAGAAGATAACATGTAGTTCAAAATATAAATAAGAAGTACTGAAATACGATTGCTTACCTGTTTGTTGAAAAATCATGTTATCCTAGATCCATGTAGCAGTTAATCATCATCAAATATTAGTGGAACTAACACTTTCAGAAAACTACCGCTTAATATTTAACTTAGTCTTCTTTAATTGAAAAATACTTTTTAATTTCTAATATCGATTTTTTTTTTTTTTTTTTTTTTTTTTTCTGTGCTAGTCTTGCAGCATCGTTAATAAAAATCAGCAAACATTTACTTGCATGAGATTTAAAGTATGCTTGTTTTAAGCGGGTAATAAACAGTTCAACTTTTATCGAACTTCCATTCTGCCGAAGAGATCGCGAACTTTCAGCAGCCGTAAAGTGCAATAGTTTCTAACGGTTTGACATGATGCTGTGATACCATTAAATCTGATCCCGTATGTACCTCAGTACTGACAGGGGGGTTAGATATTGATAAATAGAAAGTAAAAAAATAAAACATCTGCTGCTATGGAACGGAAAAGCGTACCCTTTGTTGAGTTAGAGAAGAGTATGGTTAACCTGAGATAGGAGGGGAAATAAAAAAAAAAAACCCGTTGTTAAGGGCGCGTGGCCGGCCCCATTGCCCCCCGAGTGCGATACCGGCTGCTTCTCTCATTGGCCAGCTGGCGCGTGGCTGCCGGTGACAGACGGCGCGTGCGATCAGCAGTGACGTCATCGCACAGGACCACCTGATTACTTTGGGATGCCCGTATCGTGTTGATACCGGGCTTTTCAGAGTAAATTTAGACAGATGCAGTTGTTAGATGTATTAAGAGAGACTTTTTGCTAGCTTTTTGAAATTTATCACCCTTCTGGCGACTTTATCTAAGACTTATCTACAAAATTAATACGATATTTTGCGCTTTGTACAGAAATAAATGCATGAGATTTTTCCTTTCACTAAATCCCAAAAGACTTTCTTTTTCTTGAAATACAGGTACTAGAAAAATTCTACCAAACGGCTGCATCGCAATATAAAGCAAATAGAACTTTTAAAGAAAACTCAAAAAGGTGTTGAGGGAGATGGAGAAAGAAATTTCATAGGAAGTGACGCAAACCTGTTTAGAATGAGAAAATATTGCAAACAAAATTTCTGCATCTGAGATCTACCAATGCAAGAAAATAGTGACAATGTTATATCTATGCGAGTCTAATCAGTTTAATTATTGTATTAACATCTTTATGCTCGAACAGATAGACGTACCTAACACTGATAGTTTCCTCATACGTTCTACTACAACAGTACAGTTCATTATGTAGTAAGAGTGAGAATTTCGAAATCTTCGAGCAATTTTTTCATTCAAATCTTGCAGATCTTAACCTAAAAAACCTATTTTAACTCAAAATTTTGAAAAGACACGTTTCTTTGACTTCTGATAGAAACATTCAATAAGGGGGCAGGAGAGAAAGAGAAAGATTTTTTTACTATTTCAATCAATTTTGATCATCATTATCACTTCGGGATAGCCCAGAGAACATTAGTATTTTCTGAAGAGAATTTAGTCTGCCATGCACATAATTCCTGAATTCCTGAATTATTACGATATTCTGCCCATGTGTTCATGTACTTTAATTCCTAAAACCAGTTTCTTCATACTTTAAAAAAAAAAAAAAAATCCGTTGTTTTGATTTAAAAGGATTCTAAAACAATATATATCTATCTATATTACCGGCGCTGGTAATCTATATAATACCTAGGCATTTTATAGAACGCTTGGTGTTTTTAGGCAAAGTATGAAATATGCAAATTATTATATATTTTACTTAGACATTGTGTACAAAATCTCGGCATTCTATAGACAATAGCTATTTAGGAAAAATGTGACAAATCGTCAAATGATAAGGTTATTATTTAAAAGACACGCATTCCTCGAAAATACAAATATTGTTTTGAAAAAATAATAAAAAAGTGCCATTAAAAACTTTTATACAAACTACAAAGAAAAATGAAAGCTGTACAAAAGAAAATTTATGTCTATCTTATCAAAGAAAACAAAATTTTCATATAAAAAATAAGAAATTAAAATTAACTTACCGTATTCGCCGGCGTATAAGACGCACCCCCTTTTTTATACACATTTTTGAAGGACAAAACTTTGTTACTGATTATTATAATGAATTTACAGTATTTTAAATATAAAGTAATACAAATGCAAAGTAATACTTTCTGCAAATATCCAATCGATCTGGGAAAGAACACCTTTAAATCTTCGTCAAAACCCAGACACTCATCTCCAGAGTTAAATGAAGAGTCATTTGAAACCTCTTCTAAATCAGCATCTGAGTCCTCATACAATAAATTGTTCTCTGTAACATCCAGTGCATCACACTTCTTAAATAATTTAACCACTGTCTCTGTTTTCACAGCATCCCATGAAACTTTGATCTATTCACAAACTTGGGAAATGCTAAGCCTCTTCCTTCTATTCTTCTACGTCTAAAATGCAGTATAGACGTAGAAGACGCACCCCGTTTTTCAGATCTATTTTCAAAGAAAAAAAGTGCGTCTTATACACCGACAAATACGGTACTTGTTTCAACATGGTAGGGTTGAATGGCATTTCGTTACTTTCTTCACGTAAAGACATTACATATTTTATCACTTTATACATTCGTGTGACGAATCCTTGACAGCTTTCCTCTGGATTGAGCAACTGCAACTGGCCGGAGAGCATTATCGTGGTCGTGAATATCTTCAGTTCTGGGGAGCAAGTTCTTAAGGCATGTAGGGAACTGTAATTTCGCATATACGTGTTTCTTTTAAAATTCCCTCCGAAGTTTCACGTCAGTAGAAACAAATCTCTGTCACGCTTATTACAACTGCCAATATACAGAGTGAATCACCTCATTTTCTGACGACATTAGAAATAGGAACTCGCACGGTACATAGGATGGGAAATATACAATACAACCAAATAAGAGTATGAAATTGTTTTTTACGGACTCGTTTTCCTTCTTTTGGTTGCTTCATACTTTGCCGATTTGTTCTATTGAATGCCTTGGAAATGCTGAAATGTTCTATGAAATGCTGAATTATTTCATACATTTTGGCATTCAGTAAAATGTCTAGGTATTCTATAGAATTCCGGCTTTCGCAGATAACTGGTAACATACATGCACACACACACGCACATATATTTATATATATATATATATATTTAAAACTGATAAAATATGTTATATATAAAGCCAATAGTTTAAAAATTTCAAATTTATTAAAGTCGCGCAATACGCTGAAAAATTAACTTAATAATTAATTGAATCAAAACTGGTGATTAAGAGTCAAGATTATGTTTTTTATTTGATTTTTTTTTTCTAATTCTGATATGTATTTTTTCTGTTAGACCGCTAACCATCAATTTTGGTTTCATTAACATAGCTAGTTTAATACCCAAACACCTACATACGTATACATAAATAAAAAAAGAAACATAATAACAGGCTAAAACTAAAAGCAAATTTTTTACTCGTCCTGCGCTATAGTTAATGAAAATTAAGATACTAATTTAGTGTCTATAAGCCATTTAAGATTATTTTAGTGTCTTAAGACACTGAAATTCATAAAAAACCGAAAACTTGAATCTCAAATGTACCAGGATTTTTCCTACCCGCCTTCGAAACACTTGGTAAAACACGTACATAACATTATGCTAAATTGACTACTCAAAAAACACAAAACTTTACACTATGCAATTAATTGATTATACAAAGCACGCAAGGGATCTATCTGCCTGAGAGGATGAATGCTTATGTGGAGGATTTTTGAAAGGAGCTGGCTCGTATCCACGTCACTCCAAAACTCCCATGTAGTGAGCTCATTCGGCCGAATTTTAGTTCGAGTCGAACTAGCTGTTTTCGTCAACTTTGCCGCTCGCCCCCCCCCTGGAGTTTTTTTTTTTTTTTTTTAAGTTGATTATGGCATAGTACACTATGGCTATCTGCTACGGGGAAGATAACTTCGTGGATGACGTTCTAAGTGAAACTGGCTCGTATAACACTTTACACATAGGCAAAACTATGAAAACGCCCATGTAGCTAGGCCGTTGGCTGGAATCAAACCCAGGTTTGAATTATCAGTATTCAGTGACTTTACTTCTCGCTCGCTGATAGGCCATTCTCTTAACATAAGAAAATGGTTCTTTATAATCTGGTACAAAAATTATATTCAATTAAATTTCTATTTGATTCAGAAATGTGATTTTATCATCGCTTAAAATGGTGGGACTGATAACAATAAAAGATTAAATATTTTGATTAGAAAATCTGTCGTTGTTTGCAATTGCAAGATAATAAAAATAATCCAACGATTTTTGACAAATTGCCGATATTTGGCAAAACTCTGAAAAATTTTCATTTCAAAAGATTATTTTTCGACTTACCTTATAGAGCAAAGCTCAAATTTCCGCAATGATTTGTTTAATCCTTAAGCAAGTAGTATTTGGGAGAGAAAAAAATTAAACAATAAAAATCTCTGTGTCATATTTTGAAAACATTCTTCTAGAATATTGAATTGTAATCGGAAATATGTGGGCAGTTTTAAGAAATTTATTTTAATGGAATGAAACCAAAAATTAATTTGAAAATTTAACCCAAATATTAAATAAAGAGCTAAGAGCTAAATTAAGGGTCAAATAAAGAGACCAAATTAAATAATGGTATAAGGAAACAAAATGATACAAGGAATTTTTTTTTTTTTTTAACTTACTTGTACGAAGTAAGGAAGTATAGAAATTTGATTTTCAGATTTCAAAGAAAATCTCCATTTTGACAATTCCCGAATCCATTTAGACTATTTTTTATATGACATCTGTAAGGGCAGAATAAAGGATTATTCCAAAACGGATTGTAAAATGGATTCAAAATAAATTTTTTTCGTGACATTTGTACGTACGTATGTATTTAGCATAACTCAAAAATGATTAGCCGTAGAACGTTGAAATTCTGTACATGGAACTGTTACAACATCTAGTTGTTTATCTCTCTTTTTGCTTCCTTGTACGAAGTAAAGGAAGTATTGTAATCACAAAAAAATCCGGGTACCATATTTCAAAGATATTATAATTTAACGATGTTTTTGCGTGACATCTGTACGTAAGCACAGAATAAAGGACTCTTTTCCCCCCAAAAAATTACGGATTCTGAAGAGATTTTTTCGTGGCGTCTGTCGGCCGCACCAAGAGTAAATAAATATATGTATGCATATACCCACTCTATTACTCGGCTCCGTGAGCTCAGTTTTTTATTCTTATATATTGGTAACTTGTGCCGTTTTTTGCTTTAAAAATGTTTGGATTATATTGTTCTTATCTTCCGATTAAGGTTTTTATGCCTATAATTATCCTGCATGCAATATTTGTAGAATTATTAACAATTTAAGAGTTGTTTAAGTGCGGCTAAACCTAATTTTTGTTTACTTTAGCAGCCATATTTATTTACATTTGAAACTTAACAGAATAGTGGATTTGTTGCCAATCTAGAGAAACTAAGCTTCGCAACAACAAAGATAACGTCTTCTTTTATTATTGCGAATTAACTCATGCTTAATCCATTCTGGAATTAACAATTAAGTTATTAAA